TGAACCAATTAACATTTGGAGACCATCTGCTCAAAACAACGATCTTAATTTTAAAATAGTTGTTATTTTCTGGCAATAGTTAGATAAAAGGTCCAAGCATCTGCAGAGACCAGTATAAAGGAGAACACATATCCACATATTCCTTGTGGCAGGAAGCCTGGGTCAAGGCCATCCAAAAGTTGCTTTACATAATCACAATCTGTCAGGATTCTGGTTGTAATTGACAGAAACCCAACTCAAACTAGCTTAAGCAAAATAGGGGAAATGTTATAAAAGTGATTCTGACCACATTTAGTTCCAGTTCCAAAAGATGAATAAGTTTTGTTACAAAATATGCAATGAACCAGAAATAATTTTATATGGTTCACTAAGACCTGGTCAGAAGAATGTTTGTAATTACTAAATCTGATTTCCTAATTTTTGAGCCAATCCTAATTAGACCCCTGCTAGCCTGACTGGATCTTAGGAGGAAATAAGCTAGTGAGACATAAAGCCCACTTGTGAGATTACAGCCTCAGAGGAGAAAGTCCAGAAAAGACCCAGCCCTGTTGAAGGACACTTGAAACAGAGAGGGGGAGCATGATACAAGTCTGAGTCCTGGGCATAGACCAGGCTTTTTGCTGGTTGGTGTAATATACATCCTATTTGGATTATGGCCTGACTCAACCCCACTTCCCTAATTCTCCTAAGATGGACATTTGGGGACCCTGCAGATCATCCACTCTCTAGGAGGAGTCATTAGCCCAGCATCTGCTGTCAGCCTAGTTCATTTGGGGGGAAAGAATGCCCAAACCTTGAAAGCATTTTTTTTTTTAAGATTTTATTTATTTATTTGGCAGAGAGAGAAAGAGCACAAGCTGGGGTAGCAGCAGGCAGAGGGAGAGGGAGAAGCAGGCTCCCCACTAAGCAGAGAGCTGGACGTGGGGCTCAATCCCAGGACCCTGGGATCATGACCCAAGCCAAAGGCAGACACTTAACCGACTGAGCCACCCAGGTGCCCACCTTGAAAGCATTCAGTCCTGGCACTGTGGGAGAAGAAATGAGGGTGACAAGGGGTGTGCCACTTCCTTCTCTTAGATCAATACCACCCAGTAAATAAATAAGTAAATCACCTCCCTTTTTAGAGTATGTGGCCTAAAGAATGTTTAATTCACTTGAAACATGTGAGTAGGCCAAGGGGTATTTGGCTAAGCTAGTCTAGTTGTTCTTCTGAAACCCCATATTAAGGAGTTTGGACTGTATCCTCAGGGCAGTGGGGAACACTGAATGATTTTAAGAAGAGGATTGACATAATCAGATGTGAGTTTTAGAAAAATCAACTCTGGTTGCTGTGTGAAGACTAGAATTGTAGTGTTCAAAGCAATAGTTGATAGTCATCTGAAAACAGTCATATCACTTTTAACAGATTCTGTTACCCTTATAAATTATCAGATTGATAAACCAAGAATTAAAATTTGTTAAAGAGTAAACCTGCATGGAATTTGTTTAAAATATCAGACAAGCTAATGATCTATGGTAGAAGATTGTCCATTTTTTAAAAGTATAATAGATTATACCTTTGTTTCATAGAGTCAGATTCAAACCTGTGGAGTTAATTAAACTAATTGGCAAGAATCAGAGCTCACCAGTTACTACAAACTTTGAGTAATGTTAGTGTAAAAATATGTTCTGATTATTTAATATTTTAAGCAAGTAACCTATATAAAGAAATGTTAGTGGGTCAAGGCAATGCCCCAAGAAGTGCAGAGCTAAGAAAAACCGGCCTCTTGGGCAGAGACTTGTATCTACATTTCTATGACTTCTTTCAACCAGAACCATGTCATGGACCATGACTCTAAATATATTCTCACTACTGGTTACAAAATCAGGGCTGTGACCTCTTGCAAGTGTTTGTCACTCCCAAGTATTCTGGAGACAATAAGTTGCTACTAAGATTTATATTTGACCAGTTCTCGGGTCACAGAGGAGGAGTGTTCTCCCTTGTTCTCTATGAATCAGCTCATCCAGGTAGACTTTTGGTTTGTTTTTCTTTCAGCTTCCTAATGTTCCTGTCAATTCAGGAGCTGGGAGATTAATACACATTTGCTTAAGAAGGAAGCAGGCAAGACTGGACCCAATTTATCAACAGATCTTTTGTAAGAGGTAAAAGATGACCCTCTCCTGAGGAGACAGAGTGAAAATCAAATGACTAAGCAGTGGGTGTAGAGAGCAGACCGGGGTTTGCTGGGGGTGGGGGGGGGGGGAAGGAGGTGGATGGGTTGGGTCCATGATGGGTTTGGAGGAGGGCACTTATGATGAGTATTGGGTGTTTTGTGTAGGTGATGAATCATTGGATTCTACTCCTGAAACTAGTATTACACTATATGTTGACTAGCTGGAATTTAAATACAAACTTGAACCCCCCCCCCAAAAAAAAGACTAAGCAGTGGGGAAGACCATGGTATACACTACAAATATTGGAAAATGTTATAAAGATGGTATATGTGTAGCGAACTTTTAGGTCTTAAGAAGGAGACTGCTTTGCCAGGGACATCCAAACCAGCTGCTGGGGCAGGCAAAGCAACCTCACTACATTCTTTGTATGCCAAGCCCTCTCAGGTTGAGGTCTTGGCCCCAGTTAAGTCAGTTCTGAGCTTTTCAAAGGTTTCTAAATCAAGTCCTTCAGAAACTTGCAGTAAAATTTTGTTCTTCTCTCTCTTGTCTCTAAGTGATGGTAGCTTCAGGCACTTCCAGACCTTCTCGTTCAGCTGAGTCCTCTAGAGGAGACTTATACAATTCTTCCTTTTGTTTTCCTCTATTTGTAAAAAGTTCTTGCTTTCTCCAGGACATCTGTGTCTCCTCCCTACTTGAGGAGGAAACTCCTGCCCTCCACCCACACTCAGGGCTGCAAGGGGTAGGTTCACAGCAGGACAACTGGTTTAGTCATGCAATTCGAAATTACTAGGTACTCAAATTAAACTTAGACCAGTGAAATACAAAATGTGCTCTTGTGTTTGGCATTATATAAACTTCTATTATCATAGAATTTAGATTCTTGTAGAATGCCATAAGCCACAAAAAAGTGGAGCACTAAAATCCAAGACCAACTTGGCCTGTCTGAGGTGATAATGTGACACTAATAAAGCCCACCAGTCCAGCAAGGAGTGTCCAGCAGGGTTCTCCAGGGATGAGATCACACATGGTTTCACCTAGTAGCATGCATGCAAATTCTGTTCACACTGACCCTGAACTGGATATATATTTATTTCAAAACTGAGAGCCCTCAAATAGACTATCCACATGGCAAGCCTGTGATTTCCGATCCTGGAGTATGAGATGGCTCCTTTTCAAATATTTGTGAGAACATAAATTTTCAGTTTGCTTTCCCAAGTGAATCATAACAATTCTTGATGGGAGGATTCATCCAAAGACATGAAAATATCCCAAGTCACTATTAATTAAAAGGAAATGTACTAAGACATATATCACTTTGGCTAGAAAGAAGGAGCATTCCAAGTCTGAAATATAACAGAGCCTGCCAACTCTCATTGGAAAGGGGGATTAATTTGAGCCAGAAAGGCCCTATCAGAGAAGTATCTAGCAGTTCTGAGGTTTGTCAGACTTCAAAGAAATTGGTGTGGAAGAGCAAGAATTAAGATGATAATGCTCCCAGAGAGATTTTCTGAGACCAGCCCTATCAGGAAGACAGTGAGACTCATCCCAACAAGAGAATTCCAGAATGTGGAGGAGCAACACACCCATGAGACTTAGCAAATGGGCACAGTAAGTAAGCACTAAGAAATGGACACAATATTTTGGTCAATCCTTATCAAGGATCTGTTGGATGATATGTGCTATGTTGTGTTGACAAACAAAGGCTAGACTAAAGACTGAGGCAAACATATGCTAACTCAAACCCTCTCCAGAAGTTGGAAACAACTTAAGTATTCATTGACGGATGAGTGGTTAAACAAACTGTGGTATATACATACAATGGAATAATATTCAGCCTTAAAAAGGAAGGAGATTCTGACACACGCTACAACATAGATGAAACTTGAGGACATTGTGCTGAGGAAAAAAAACAGTCAAAAAAATGACAAACACTATGTGATTCCACTTATATGAGGTATCTGGAGTAGTCAAATTCATAGAAACCAAAAGTAGAATGGTAGTTGCCAGGGATTACGGGAGGAGGTAATAGAATATTATGGACTGAATGTTTGTGTCCCACCAAAATGTATCTGTTGAAATCCTAACCCCCAATGTGATGGTCTTAAGAGGCAGGGGCTTTGGAAGGTGATTAGGTCATGAGGGTGGAGCCCCCATCAATGGGATTAGTGTCCTTAAAGAAGAAACCTCAGAGAGCTCTCTCCCTTCCTGCTATGTGAAGATACAGTGACAAGACAGCTATCTATAAACCAGAAAGCAGGCTCTCATCAAGCACCGAATCTGCTGGCTTGGACTTCCCAGACTTCCAGGACTGTGAGACATCAGTTTTTTGTTTAATCTAACCTACCTAATCTATGGTATTTTTGTATGCAGCGTGAATGGACTAAAACATGGGAGCTGTTGTTTGAGGTGTACAGAGTTTCAGTTTTAGAAGATGAAAAGAGCTCTGGAGATTGGTTGCACAGCAGTGTGAATATACGTAACACTATCAAACTATATACTTGAAAATGGTTAAAATGGGTAAATTTATGTGTATTTTACCATAATTAAAACATTTTAAGACATGTATCGAAGTTCATATTTTATGCAGGTATAGTTTATTGTATATCAATCATACCTCAATTAAACTGTCTTAAAAAAACAAAAAATAATAACTCCAGATGAGGTCACCATTTTGTTTGCATGGTCAGAGAAGAGTGCAGTCCACATGGGGTACCTATACTAGATGGGTGCAGGTGGACTAAGGAAATTAACTCTGTGAAGTATTTAATACCAATATTCTGCTAAATATATGGTAATATTAAGAGATGTCATAAGGAATCTCCTATATGTTAGACATACTGTCTTACCTCCATTGTGGAATATCCATCCAATTTTCCCTTGGTATTCGGGATCAATCATCCCAACCAACACTGTTTGTTGATTCAATGGTATGAGAAACCCAAAGTGGCTAGGTGGCAGTCTTAATTTTCAGTTCAATGGAATCATTATTGTGTCTACTGGTAGAAGCATTCTTCCCTCTGGAACTAAGAGCTCTAGGCCAGCAGAGCAGAAAGCTACAAGAACACAAGACAAAAATTTTGCTATTATTAAGAATAAGAATAAGTGGTGCCACTCTCATTTCCACCCCTTGATTCCTGGACCCATGAATCCTGGTTATCCAAGAAACAGCACCAGATATTGGGTACTGATTCACAGTTTATATAGCCTACTGGAGAACCTTGCCCCAGCCCTGCAAGGTATTGCCACGGTGCTGGGACCATAACTGAGTCTTCAAAAGTCCATTCCACTGTTCCATCAAGGCAGATGCTTTAGGGTGGTGAGGAATATGGGAAGCCCAGTAAATTCCATGAACACGGGCCCATTGCTGGACTTCTTACATTATGAAGTGAGTTCTTTGATCAGAAACAATGCTGTATGAAATACCATGACAGAGGATAAGACATTCTGTAAGTTCTTGGATGATAGTTTTTGCAGAAGCATTGTGTGTAGAGAAGACAAATCCATATCCAGAATAAATTTGTATTTCAAGAAAGACAAAATGCTGCAGCTTCCAGGATGGGAGCAATCCAATGTAATCAGCTTACCACCAGGTAGCTGGCTCATCATCCAGGAAGAGTGCCATTTTGAGAGCTCAGAGATGGTCTCTGATACTTGTGGATTAAGCAGGGGTGACCATAGCCAGATCGACCTTGGTGAGTGGATGCCCATGTTGCTGGCCCAGGCAAATGTCCATCTCTGCCACTATAGTCATTTTGTTTATGAGCACACTAGGGGATAACAAAGGGTAGAAGGGGAAAGAGGCTGACCGCTATCCACAAAACAGATCATTCTATACACTTGATTTTAAAATCCTCCTCTGCTGAGGCTATCCTTCAGTAAGCATTCACATGGAATACAAACATCTTCATAGTTTTTGCCCAGAGAGGTCTATTCACATACCTCTTTCCCAGTTTTGTTGCTAAATTTCCATTATGTCACTTCTAAGACTCTGACCACCAGCCAAATCATTTGCTAGAACCCATGAATCGTGCATGTCTCATCATTGCTCCTTTTTTTTTTTAAAGATCAACCTATTTATTTATTTATTTATTTATTTATTTATTTATTTGCCAGAAAGAGAGAGAGAGAGACAGCAGGGGGAGAGGCCAGCAGAGGGAGCGGCTGGCAGAGGGAGAAACAGTCTCCCTGCTGAGCAAGGAGCCGGACATGGGACTCGATCCCAGGACCCTGGGATCATGACCCGAGCTGAAGGCAGATGCCCAACTGACTGAGCCACCCAGGTGTCCCTCATCATTGCTCCTTCTGAGCAGAGTAAATAACCAGGTACGTTGCTTGACATTCTGCCCACTGGGAGGATTTCCCTTCATCACTGTCCTTAAGGGATGTCCCAGAGAGGGACTGTAGTGCTGCAGTTGTTTACTTTTGGGTGGTGACTGTACATGGTGCAGAAGCATCTATAAACCAGGCCTAAGTCTTCTCTTCTTCTGTCAGTTGATTGTAGGGAACTTCCCATGAGGCAATAGGTACAGGCTGGGAGAGAGAAGGTAGGATAGCAGTAATAGGTACAATGGCCATTTGAGCCACTTCTTCACGTAACTTACTTATGCCTTCAGGATCTAATCTAATCACTTCCACTTGATGATGGATTGTTGTGCATGCCCAACTTTATGGATTGGTGAGTTAGATAACAACCAGTTCATATTGGGTAGCAGGTCACATAGTAACTTGGTGGCCCATGGTTAAGTGTTCAATCTCTACTAAGGTCCAGTAGCAGCCCAAGAGCTGTTTCTCAAAAGGAAAATAGTTATCCCTGGAGGAAATTAGAGCCTTTCTCCAAAATCCCAAAGGCCTGTGTGGCAATTCAACTACAAGAACCTTCCAAAGGCTCCAAAGAGCATCCCTATCTGCCACTGGCATTTCAAGCACCATTGGATCTGTGGATCATATGGTCCAATTGGCAGAGAAGCTTACACAGTGGCCTGAACCTGTTGTAAAGCCTTTTCTGGTTCTGGGCCCCATTCAAAACTAGAGAAGCTTTTCAGGTCACATGATAAATGGCCTGAAGTAACACACTAAAATGAGTAATATGTTGCCCTCAAAAGAAGCCCACTAGGTATTGTATCTCTTTCTTGGTTGTAGGAGAGGCCAGATGTAACAACTTATCCTTTACTTTAGAAGGGATATTTCAACATGTCCCATATCATTGAACCCCTAGAAATTGCACTGAGGTGGAAGGCCCCTAAATTTTAGTCAGATTTATTTTCCAACACACTGACATCTGACCAATAAATCTAGAAGTTACCACTTCTCTCAGTAGGTACAATCAGCATAATGTCACGTGACGAACACAGGAGAGCAGCTATTTCTTTGAGATACTAATTTTATTTCCATTTGATGTATAACCACAAGTGGGATTGCTGGATCATATGATAGTCTATTTTTAATTTTTTAAGGAATCTTCATATTGTTTTCCATAATGGCTGTATGAATTTACATTCTCACCAACAGTGTACAAGACTTCCCTTTTCTCTACATCCTTGACAGAATTTGTTATCTCTTGACACTTTTTTCTCTGTAAGCTGTAGTCTTTATGAAAATGCATATTTAATTTATTTATAGAGAAACTATATTATTTATAACATTAATAATAATAATACATATTCCTATTCAGGGCACTGAGCTTGGTTGATTTATACACATTACTCTTGTATAATAATCGCTTGACTTTTTGTATAATAGCCATCCTAACAAATATGAGCTGGTATTTCATTGTGGTTTTGATTTGCATTTCCCTGATGATTAATTATGTTGAGCATCTTTTCATGTAACTGTTGGCCATTTATATGTCTTCTTTGGAAAAATATCTACTCAGGTCCTTTGCCCATTTTTTAATTGGGTTATTTGAATTTTTGCTATTGATTTGTAAGTGTTCTTTATATATTTTGGATATTAACTGCTTATTTGCTATCTGGTATGCTAATATTTTCTATCATTCTATAGGTTGCTTTTCTTTCTTTCTTTTTTTTTTTTTTGACTGTTTACTTTGCTGTGCAGACACTCTCTAGTTTGATGTAGTCCTACTTGTTTATTTTTGCTTTTGTTGCTTGTGCTTTTGGTGTTGAATCTAAAAAATCATCACCAAGACCAACATCATGAAGCTTTTCCAAAACTTCAGAAGTTTCACAGTTTCAGGTCTTGCATTTAGGTCTTTAATCCCCTTTAAGTTGATTTTATGTACAGTGTAAGATAAAGGCAAAAAATAAAAGAAACATTGACAAATTTTTTAAAGATTTATTTATTTAGAGAGAGAGAGTGGGAGAAGGCATAGGGAGAGGGAGAGAGAAAATCAAGCAGACTCTGTGCTGAGTTTGGAGTCTGTGTCGGGGCTCAATCTCATGACCCTGAGGTCGTATATGAGCTGAAACCAAGAGTCAGATGCTTATCTGACTTTGCCACCCAGGCACCCTGAAACATTAATGAAATTTAAGAAGATACTGATAAATCTGTCATCAAAGTAGATTTTAGCATATCTCTCTCAAATAATATAAATAACACATGCTAAAAGAACATAGTAATATAGATGATTTGAATGTAATTAATGAACTTGATCTAATATATAGACCATATGTAAACTTGACTCCTTAAGACTGGAAAACCAACTTCTCAACAGTCACAAAAACATTCATGTTAAGCAAGCTGCAATAAATTTAAAATTGGTACATAAAGACTACATTCTTTTACAAGAGTACAATTAGGAGTCAATAACAAGAGTAAATAAAAAGATTAAAAATTCTTACATATTTGAAAATTTAAAAACACTCTTCTTAATAATGAGTCAAAGAAGAAATCATATTGGATATTAAATTACTTAGTTCTGAATAATAATAAAATAATAAATATCAAAACCTGTGGCATGCAATTAAAGTGGAACTGGGAGGGTAATTTATAGCTTTAAATGTTTATCTTGGAAAAGAAGCCTGAAATGTAATGAGATTAGGAAATTCGAAAAAGAACAACAGAATAAACACATGGAAAGGAAAGGGAAAATGAAAATAGGAGTAGAAGTCAACAAAATAGGAAACCAAGATACATTAGAGAGTGTCAGAAAGCCAAAAGTTAAATCTTTGGAAAGGCCAATAAAATTACTAAACCTCTGTCAATATTGTTAAGGAAGAAAAAAGAAATGTACAATAAACAATATTACATTACATTACATTAATGTAATATTAATGCCCATAAAATTAATATTACATTAATGTATATCATTTCCTTTTAATCACTGCCATATAATGTTACATTAATATATTACATTAATATGGCAGTGATTAAAAGGAAATGATGTTATGACCAAACTTATGCCAATAAATTTGAAATGTAGACAAAATGGACAAATTCCTAGAACATAAACCTGACTCTTGAAGAAATAGAAAGCCTTAATAGTCCTACCCTTATAACATAACTGAAGTCGTATTTAAAACTCTTCAATAAATAAAACAGCATAGCTTACAGTTGTACAAGTGAATTCTACCAAATTTTCAAGGGACAGACCATTCCAATCTTATAAATCTCTTCTATAAAGTAGAAGAAAAAGAAAAATCTCCTCCTCCCCACCATCCAGTAAACCATATGAGGCCAGAATAATCTTAATGCCAACACCAGTCAAGGATGATAAAAGAAGTATAATAAGAGGGGAAAAAAAGCACTCATGAATTTACACACAAAAATCTTAAATAAAATGTTAGCAAACTAAATCCATTGATTAAAAAAAAAAAAGAATATAGGGGAATGACTGTAAAGGGACATGAGAATTTCTGGGGTGACAGAAAGGATCTTACATGTTGACTGTAGTAGTGGTTACATGATTGCATGTATTTGTTAAAATTCATTGAACTATATCCTCCAAAAGGTGAATTTTATTGTATATAAATTATACCTTAGTTAACCTTTTTTCTTAAAAAAGGACATTTTATAGAATCCCACACCTATTTCATGATAAAAATTCTTAGTAAATCACATGAATAAAGGGAAAGATTCTTATTCTGATAAAAACTATCTACCACAGATTTACATTAAAAATCACATCAATCTTACTAAGGAATGTTAGAAGCATTGCCTTCAAAATTAGAAAGAAGACAAAAATGTTCAACATTATGACTTCTATTCAAAATTGCACTGGAAATTTCAGCCAGCATGGTAAGACAACAAAAGTACTGAGAAATGTAGAGATAGGGGGAAAAAAGAAACAAAATAGATTTGTCCAGATAATATATTTGTCTACACTGAAAATCCCAAACAATAGAATTAGAAACAATAATAGAAGTTAGCAAAGCAGGTGGCTAAATGGGCAAGATAAAAGATAAATTTCTATTTTAGGGGTGTCTGGGTGGCTCAGTCATTAAGCATCAGCCTTTGGATCAGGTCGTGATCTTAGGGTCCTGGGATCAAGCCCCACATCAGGTTCCCTGCTCAGAGGGAAGGCTGCTTCTCCTTCACCCACTGTCCCTGCTTGTGATCCCTCTCTCACTGTCTCTCTCTGTCAAATAAATAAAATCTCTAAAAAAAAAAAAAGAGACAAACATATTTTTATGCCAACAAGAAACAAAATAATTCTAAAAAGGAAAGCATTTGAGTAGCAATAAAAAATGAGGTACTTAAAGAATGAATCTAACAAAACATGTCTAAGACTTGTCTGTAGAAATTTAAAAATTTTTTATTGGAAAAAAGGAGACTTAAGTAAATGGAGATATTTTTTTTTTTTGTCTGTGTTCAATACCATAAATATGTCAAGTATCTCCAAGTTGATTGATTCCATGCAGTTTCAATCACACTTGCAACTGGTTTGGAATTCAACAAGCTTTTTTTTTTTAATTTTTAATTTTTAAGATTTTATTTATCCATTTGAGAGAGAGAGAGAGAGCATGAGAGGGGGAAGGGTCAGAGGGAAAAGCAGGCTCCCTGATGAGCAGGTAGCCCGATGCGGGACTTGATCCCAGGACTCCAGGATCATGACCTGAGCTGAAGGCAATATCTTAACCAACTGAGCCACCCAGGTGCCCTGGAATTCAACAAGCTTAGGGATGAGAAAGAAGAAGAATATGTTGAGATTCTTGCTCTACTAGTTACCAAGACTTATAAAGTTATAGGAATAGACAAATAGATAAATTTATTACTAGGTAAAAAAAAGAAATAAGCTTACATGTATATGGAACTTTGATACTTGATATAGGTGGCATCACAAATCAGTGGGAGAAGAAAGAACTATTCAACAAATGGTACTGGGAAAGCTGATGATTCATATTAAAAAATGTTAAATTGGATCCCTAACCCACTCTACACATAAAATTAATTCTAGATGTATGAAACAAAATGTGAAAGGCAAAACTTGTAAAATGTAAAATAAAATATAGAGATCGTCCTTCTGATCTTGGGGTAAGAAAGAATGTCTATAGTAAGACAAAACATACTAACTGTAGGAGAAAAGATAGTGTTAAAATAAAAAATTTCTGTTCAATAAAAAACAATAAAAGAAATAAAGTAAGAACACAAACCATGCACTGTGGGAGTGGAGAATGATATAACTACTTTGAAAAATCATTTGACTCTTACTAGCTGAACATTTATTTATCCCATGGTCTAGCAATGGTACTCTTTCTTTTGTGCATTAGGAGACAAGTGTAAGAACATTCACAGAGGCACTATTTATAACAGCAAAAACCTGACAACCCCCCATATGTCCTGTTCTAGTTATGCTTTGTTGTATAACTAACAACCTCAAAGTTTAGTGGCTTAAAATGACAACAACATGAGCCTGCAGTTTTAGCAGGGCTTAGAGGGGACAGCTGGTCTCTCTCCACCAAGAGTCAGACTGCTCTGGGGAGGACTAGGGGCTGAAATCCTCTGAAGGAGCACTCACTCACCTGTCTGGTGGTTGATGCTGGCTGTCTGCTGACACTGCATTTATTGCTGCTCCGTTACACCTAGAGAGAATTTTCCAGGGACAAGTGGCTTCCTTGTCATATAATGGCTGGCTTTCAAACAGGGGAGAAGGAGGTAGGGAGTGAAGGAGAGAAAAAGAGAGGAAGAAAGAGAGAGAGAGAGAAATGGGGAGGGAGAGAGGGGTGAAAGAAGAGAGGGAGCGAGGACAGAGAAAATTATATAATAAACAATTTTTCACTTAGCTTCAGAAATCATACAGCATCACTTTTGCTGCATTTGTCAAAGGCAAGTTACTAAAGTCAGCCCCTGTGCAGGGAAGAATTACCTTCTGATAGGAGCAGTGTTAAAAAATTTGCAGACATGTTTTTAAAACTACCACAAAAGAATAAATAAAATATTATAACAATTGAATATTATATATAACAGTGAATATGAATGAACTATTGCTACATGCCACAATGTGGATGAATTTTTTTTTTTTTTAAGTAGGCTCCACACCCAGTGTGGAGCCCAGTGTAGGACTTGAACTCATGACTCAGATCAAGACCTGAGCTGAGATCAAGAGTCAGATGCTTAACCAGCTGAGCCTCCCAAGCATCCATTGGCTCATTCTTATAACTAATTGCCTCTTTGATGGGTAAGGAATTGTTTTAAGGATGGAGTCTGAAATGAGACCCTTTTGACTGAAAGGAATTGACACACTCTAAGGGTGGGTGAAGTTCTGGGGACCCACTGTAGGTAGCCACACATATCAATGAAGGAGGTGGAATTCCAGCCATAGTGCCTAACCGAGCCTCACAGGGACTGAAGCGAGAGTGTGACTCCAAGGGCCTTCATGTTCCAGGAGTCTGCATACCCTTCCTCAAGTTCAGGGACTATTGGCCCTCTTGGTGTGCCATTCCTATTTCTGTCCATTTCCCTTCTGCTCTCCCTATAGACTGCCATTCTCCATTGCTTCTGCTTCCTTCCTTATAACTGGATGTACTCTTGCTGCTATTTTATGATTTCTCTCTCTGAGCTTAAGATCTTCTGGCTCATTGCCAGATCTCTTTTTAGTTTCCCATTAAAATGGGGATGAATTCTTTAAATATAATTTGAGTGGGGAAAAAAAGCAGACCCAGAAGATTATGTTATTTGTGTGAGATTATTTTCAGAAAGCTCAAAGTCAAATAAAATAAATAATACATTGTTTAAACATATATTTATATTAATGACAAAACTATTATTTTTTTAAAAAGATTTTATTTATTTATTTTTGTCAGAGAGAGAGAGCACAAGCAGGGGGAGTGGCAGGCAGAACAGGTAGAGGGAGAAGCAGGCTCTCCACCAAGCAAGGGGCCTGATGCGGGACTCGATCCCAGGACCCTGGGGTCATGACCTGAGCAGAAGGCAGACCCTTAACCGACTGAGCCACCCAGGCGTCCCAAAACTATTATTATTATTTTTTAATTCAGAGCAGTCCTTTATCTAAGTGGGGAGAAGAAGGAGGCAGGAGATGAAATGGGAAGAGCACATAGGAAGTGATAAGATATTGGAAAGTTCTGGATTTTATACTGGTTTGTGGGTTTCCAGGTGCTCATCATATTATTACACATTATTGTATGTATTGCATATTTATAGTTTATATAATCATATATTATGTTTGTAATTTACATATTTGTGATAAATATTCTCTTGAACGTGGCAAGTATTACATTAAACACAACAGAGAGGAAGCATTTAAAAAATGAAGAAAGAAACCAAAGGCTGAGATGGGCTAGATAGAGCAAGTATGTAGCCAACTTAAATGAGCTCAATTTCCAGGTCAGATGAATTCTGTCCCAGAATGTTAAAAGAATTTGCAGATGTGGTTGTTAACAGTCTTTAGGAAATCATGAATGGGAGACATGATAGTAAAGTGAAGATAGTTAAATAAATACCCTGATTTTTTAACGCTGGGAAAGGTAGATTTTTTAAGATAATGGCAGTCAATTTACTATTGATTCCTGTCACAAATTTATTTTAGTTTATTATGTTATGTGAGTCACCATACAATACATCATTAGTTTTTGATGTGGTGGTTCTAACAGGTGATATGTTGGCATTTAGAAAAGAATCACGTGCCCACAAGGAGCTCCATGGGTTATTGGCAAATGTAATTTCCTTTTGTTATTGGGTGATTGAACTTGTACCATGATTAGTTAGGCATAAACATAGTGTAACAAGATCTCAGCAAGACTTTTGATAAAATAACTCCTCTGTTCTTGCCAACAAGATGGAGAGCTATAGATTAAAAGTAGTAGAAATGTGTGGATTTGTTGCTGATTGAGCAATCCAAAGGATATTGGTCAGTATCAGCCTGAATGGAGATACGAGTGAGCTCTGTGTCTGACCACCTTGCCTTTCTTGTGCAGACTTGAAATGAGGAGGGAAGGCTAACACACTAAGTGCCAGAACTAAGACTGGGAGAGACCTAGACAGGGCATAGATTGAAAACAAATCTCTCAGTTTAGTTTGAAAATGTACTTGGAATAACATGGTTGTGAAGAAGAGCTGAACTAACAGCCACTTGTCTGAAAAAGGGTTGGTGAGAGGCAGGGACTGGAGGAAGAAATATGTCCTCCAAGCTCAGCAAGGGAAACGGCCTGCTAAGGTTGCTAAAAGATCTGTAAGATCCACACTCTATTTTGCAAATGGTTAGAATGCATCTGGAGTTTGAGCCCAACTATGAGCACCAATTTTAAGAGGGACATTGACCAACTAAAGAGAATCCTGTGGAGAGCAGGTTGGCTTTGTACGAGTCACAGCAGACAGGGTTGAAGGATTTTAGGATTTTTTTGCTTAGAGAGGAAAAGCCTTGGTTTGGGATGGCTACTTTTTTTTTTTTTTTTTTAAAGATTTTATTTATTTATTTGACAGAGAGAGACACAGCGAGAGAGGGAACACAGCAGTGGGAGGGGGAGAGGGAGAAGCAGGCTTCCTGCAGAGGAGGGAGCCCGATGCGGGGCTCGATCCCAGGACCCCGGGACCATGACCCGAGCCGAAGGCAGACGCTTAACGACTGAGCCACCCAGGCGCCCCTGGGATGGCTACTTTTAAATATTTAACCTACTGCGATGTGGGGAAGGGATTAGACATATTTAGGCTCCAGATAATCTAACTTGGTTTGGTAAAAGAAATCTTTAGGAAGGTAGATTTTTCTTTCAGAAAACAAAAGAGAGAGAGAATTTTCTAGCAAAACCATCCAGAGGCCGAATATCTGTCTCTCACAGAAATAAGTTCCCATACTAGAAGTGATCAACCAGATCTGGGTGTTTTAGGGAGAATTCCATCACTAGGTGGAAGATTTTGCTAGATGACCATCAAGATCTTTACCAGTGGTTACGGTTCAGGGATTCTGTACCTACCCTTTAACAAAAACTCAACTCTGCTACTGAAAGGATATTAGGAAAACACCATTTGGCTGTCAGTTGACTCCAGGAACCCATCTTAAAAGTATAGTTGCTTCTGGGTATAGGACGCTTTAAGCAATTAGCACATAACCTTAACCTAATTTATCAAAGATTGGCAATAGACTGGACTCAAAAATCTGGAGGGAAAGAGAAAGAAATAAAAAATATATTACTTTTATTAACAAAACATGATCATCGTAACTGTAAAGGAATTTTTACAGCAGGAAAAGAAATCACCCTTGCCCTGTTGTCTTAAAACTGATCTCACTTTGACATTTCCTGCATTTGTCCTTCTATATGCTGTTTTTAAAAATTATTATTATTATTTTTTAACATAGGGGTAGTCGGAAATATTTTGATGGGAGAAGGTTGGGGAAATAGATTTATAGAGTCAAGAGTTAGCAGCCTGGTTCAGAGCAGAAGAGCTCTAAAAGCCTAGAAGTGAATGAAGGAGTGGGGAGGCTGAAAGAGGAAAGGAACTGGCTGGTTAAGGAGCAGAGCCGTGGGAAGTACCTCCTTTTGGGTGGTGATTCTCTACTTGCTGGGCCCTGGCTCAACCAGATAGAATGGCTGGTCTTTCTTTAGGCAAAACCCACATGCCCCTGCCCACTCCCACTGCCTCCAATACCCTGGTACCCTCTCTGCTGCTCTGTCTCCTGGGCCTCTTCCTGCAGGGAAGCCTAGCCAAGAGAGGCTCCTTTTATTGCAATGTGACCAGACATGCTCCCAGTTCCAGATGTTGCTAGCATCAGTTGAACAAACCTCATGAAAACCATAAAGCCAAGCACAAACCCCAGATTAACTGTTTTAGATGTTTTCTTTTTCTGAGAATTGGGACAGGGGTCTCAATCTTCTTCATGCCTCTCTCAAGTTAAAGTTATATGGAGACAAATAAAAGTCACAACTTCCAACCTGTTGTTAATCATGACTGTATAAGAATAGCATAGGGCCCAATAGAGCCTAGTGAACGTTACCAAGGGTTGCAAACATGGTGCAGGGGGATCTGGCTTGTTCCAGTTCCATACCGTTGGGTGGTGGTCTAATCTGGCCTAGAGGCCATGGAGAGTATAGAAAGGTGACAAAAAGGCGTTTTGAGACTTGTTTCCTTACCTTAAGATAATAAAACTCACCAGAAAAATACAGAAAACTATTCCTTAGCTGATGGAAGGGCCAACCCCTGCCAGGGTAAGGTGGACCCACAGCCTATATCAAGGGCATTAGAAGGAGGAAGGAATAGCGCCACGGTGATACACACAAGGAATCTGCTTTCCCAGGCAGGGTCTGGTCTGAGTTCCCATGGCAGGGAAGCTGTCATCTTTAATGCTAGGCTTCTTGTAGGACTTGGAGCCTTGGGCACCACATCTGCAGTGCAGGCCCCATAAGTACATGGGATATATCTGCAGGCCCCATAAGTCAAGGAAGACAGAAATACTCTTTTTTTTCAAACCTTTAAGCCCTCCTATGCCTATGGGTCAATGTATGTTTCTCCTCTTGCCTAGAACTCCACCTCTATCCTGGATCCCTTTGTCTGGCTCCTACATGTCCTTTAAAACCTTGATGTTTCCCCTCTGTTAAGTCTTCTTGAACTCTCACTTCCAAGTTCCCCATGGACAGCACCTGGTGCCCTATGACCGTGTTACACAGTTTTGTCATTCTCCCATTTAGCCCCCAGTCTTTTTTGAAGTCAGGGCAGTGTCTTATCCGTTCTGTCCACACAGGAATGCTCAGCACTGTTCTCTGAATAAACAAATAAAGGAATGGCATCCTGGGATTCTGAGGAGCTCCAGCAGTGTAGCATAGATATCCTAAAGATGGAATGTCAGCAGAACAGAGCGGTGAGGCTTCTCCCAGGGATCCTAAGACCAATGGTTCCCATCAAGGTCAAGGATGGGGAAGTGAGTGGGGCCCCCAGGGGTGGCTTGGTGACCATCGTGTTAGTAG